CGCCTGGGTGGCTCAGTCGCTAAGTGTCTGCCTTTGGCTCATGTCATGATCCCAGGGTCTTGGGATCGAGCCCCGCCTTGGGCTCCCTGCTCTGAGGGAAGCCTGCTTCTCTCTCTCCCACTAACCCTGCTTGTGTTCCCTCTCTCACTGTGTCTCTCTCTGTCAAATAAATAAAATCTTAAAAAAAAAAAAAAAATCTTTGAATCATAGACCCAGGAAGGGCTTGCGAGAGTATCTTGGGCATCCTGTATTTTCAAACAAGCTGACTTCTCTCTGAGTCCTCCCAGGAAGGAGATTCTACTTGTTCCCGCCCTTGGAAGGGAAGCTTTGCGAAATCAAGCCTAATGGAAAGTGTTAGTCTCTGTGATTTAAACCCAAGTCCCCTCTGCTCTGGTTTGATGGATTTCCTTTGCCCTGCTCCTCACCTGCAGTGGAGAACTGCTGGTTGCTTTCATCCACAGGCGAGTTCTTCACATACCTCAAGGTGGGAACGTTGACCACAATTCCATGAAAACAACCACCTTTCTTTAATACGCTGAAGAATTTGTTATGAAAATTAACCATTGGCACTTATCTGTCACATCCTCTTTCTTAATGGGGGCAGAAGAAAACTACAGAGTGACTATGTTCACATTTATATGAAAAAAAAAGCTTCTATCTTAAATTTGGAGAGAGGGAAATAAATGTACATGTGGCCGACTCTGGTTCATCACTTGTCAAACCTGGAAGGAAGAGCACCCTGGGAGAGGGCTTGTTAGTTTACGGTATTTTGTGAAACTGGGCATGGAGAGTATTTGCATAAATCAGGTTAAAAATAAATTTTGGAATCTTGCTGTGGTTTTTTTTTTTTCTGCCTAAATGCCTAAATTACATAATTAAGGCTGTATTGAGATTAAAATCACTTCTCATTTAAGGAGCAGCTGTCAGCAGTGCTTTGAGCAAATGGACTGGGGGGTTCTGAGGACTTGAAGTTTGGAAAAGGAAGTGATGGGAGAATTATCTGTGAGTCCTGAAACGTTTCTTGCAGCTGCTTTACACCCAGAAGTGGACTCCAGAGAGGTAGCCAGGGCTCAGAGTGATCTGATTTTTTCTGGCCGGAAGTTGAAAATGAAATGGACATGTAACGGACAAAGTTCTCATGGTCTTCTGAAGGAAGTGGAAGCGTCTTCTGGGCTGGTTCAAGGATCACTTTCTGTGTAACTTCTCTCCTGTTCATTGATTGTTTTAAGCTGCCACTCTCTGTGGTACACCCTTCCTTTCTAGACCAGATTATCCTTGAGGCCTGGTTTTACATCAGAAATCCTGCACCATGTGCCTCTAATTACTTTCATTTCTCTGCTCTGGCCTTTGCTTATTATCTCCTTTTAGAGAAGGCTAAACACACACACACACACGGAGATAGGAATGAGCTCGCTCATACAAACTCACGGGTCCTAAATGGATTTCCTGTCCCTCAAGGGAAGAAATAATCCAGAAATGTGCCCATATACTCCCATGGAACCATACATTCTGTATATTCCCTTATGTTGGGGGGAATTGAATGTGTTATTTCAGAACAGAGCTTTTATTTTAAGGTTAAGACTCAGAAAAAGATTACTTCTTCAGTCTTGCCTTGCCCTGAAAACAGCTGCATGAAGCCTTGATCCAACTGTGTGGATGTCAGCTGGGTAGACTTGAGCTCCTAGTGAATATTATCTTTTCATGTAATGTTTCATTAAACGGCTAAGTCCACAAGAGTTCCCAAGATACATAACTCTCAAGAAAAAAGAGGCATGCTTTGCCAAGTACAGAGCTATGATTTATGGTAGTAACGGTTATACTCTGAATCTTACTGGGCTTTGTTTTGAAAAATTATTACCACAATGGTTCTGTAGAATTTAGTAGTGCAACCAGCACCATTTGGCACATTTATGACAATAGGGTTCTGGTTTTCTTAACTCCACAGTTACATGTTGGCAGCATTTCAAATTCTTGGCACAGATGTGAATATAAAGAAGAAACATGAAAAAAATATATCGGGCAGTTTGAGTATCCAAATGTAAGGAGCATTATTCCTAACATGCGGCTAGCATGGACATGGAACGAAGAACTTGGTAATGGAGGACATGGCAAGCACAAACATTATTTGCAAGGGACTTTTAAATTTTTTTCATTGAGGGCACTAGCAGTTATCTAAAAGCATCTCCTGTTCATATCTACCAAATGAGACTCAAATTTATTTTTGCCTGGAGACAGGTTAGTTTCTGGATCCTCCACGGACAAGCAAATAAACCCTTTCCCACCACATGACAGTTGGGACTGCATGGCCATACCAGCATGTCTCTGGGTTTCATCCTAACAGTGAGTGCCCAGCTTCTGGTAAAACAACGGCTGTCTTGAAATTCATTTTAAATGAACAAGTGGCAGATCTACTTTCTGAGCTAAGATGTAAAGGGAAAAAAATACCGTGGGATGTAGAACAGGAAGACTGCAAAAGCACAGAAGAACTTATTCCCTATGGCACGGTCAGTGTTAGCTACTGAGGCAAAAATGTTGTCCTCACTGGGCTAAGTATTGTTCCTCAACCCAGTTTTCCTCAGTGTCCCTTACCCCTGAGTCAGTTGGGTCTACACACATACACACACACACCACATACATGCTGTCCTGAGGCTAGGAAGGCTAGGAATCCAAGTCTTCCTTACCTCACTACCCCATCCCCATCAATAGAGTAAAAGAGACAGACAAAATCCATTACTAATGTTTGAAACGCTTTCCTTAGAGAACACTTCTATAGCTCATAATTGAAAAATCTTAAACTGGTCACTTATAAAAGAGATCAACACTTCAAATCACTCACACGTGTGGTCCCCAATGGAAGTGGGGGATGAGGGACTCACTGCTGCTGGGGAGAGTGGGTGGGGCAGGAGAGAGGCAAACACTGTCATGTTCAAAATTGTTCCCTAAGAAGATGTCACTTCACTGGCCCCTCACTGAAGACACTAGACAAGCATTGGTAAAGCATGAACATTTATATTTAATTTACATTTTGACAATTTGCACATAAATAACAATGTAAACCAGTACGTAAACATAAGATAATCTGTTGTTCTAGCAAAGTAAAAAGCCAATAACTTTGGTCAGTTTTAACTTTGATTAGAGGAAAAAAATAAAACCACTGTTGATTGTGGGCTCCACATTCACATGTAAGAGGCCTACAAGGGAAGGTCAAATGGCAAAGAGAAGCATGTCTCGAGCCATGCGGGTCTTGGTAAAAATTCCCACAAATAAGAAAGCACAAAAGGGAAAGAAGAGAACAAGTGAGCAGAACCGTTAATGTTTGGTGTCAATGTCCGTGTGCGATGCTTTGGTTTACCTAAAATTAAGGACTGCGTTGGCCCAGCACTGATCCATAAAAAATCGTCAGTTTTGCCACTTAGAGGAACAGATCAGTAAGGCTCTGAGGTTTCTCTGGAGTCTCCTAAGTTCGTTCTTTACTGCAGGCTGACATAGTTGCCATCAATAAAAGGTTGAATGTAAAAACCAGACTGATAAGTGATGCATCAGTTAGTGAGAAAGGAGAGAAAGAGAGAGAAAATTAATAGTGGGAGTGATGGGACTTTATTTCCATGACTTGGGTGTGACCACATAACAAAAATAAAGCCATCTTAGACTGTCCTTACTGGTGAAAGATGCATCTCTCTCTCCCTGGTTGTTATGCAGTCTCCAGCTTTGCACCAAGGTTTTGGGGTCTCGTACAATAGCAAGGAGGTGCCCAAGCTCACCAATGTCTATGATGATGGGGTCCTCAAGTGTTAAGCAAAGCCTCAGAAAGGATTTTTTTTTTCTTTTTGCCCTTAGGAAAAGTAGGTTCTTTTACATGGTTTGGCTCACAATTTAAGTGGTTATAAATATATTATATATACACATGGTATAGTGGTATAAATAGATTTATAAATATACATCATTCTTTGCTACACCTTGAATGCTGACATGTAATCTTTGGGCTTAGCAGAGTAAAAGACAGAATGGCACACATTCTGTCCTTCTGGAGCACACTTGGTTTCTCCTGCAGAGTAGCAAATCACTGCATAAGACATCACTTCCTGCACTACTGGACGCACTCAATGAGGTAATTGTTGTTGAACAGCTTTGCAATGCCCTTTCATCTTTAATTAAATTAACCATAAAATGTAAAAACACAAATACTGAGGAAAATCTGAGTTTTACAGAACAAAATACAATTGATGTGTTGGGGATAGGAATGTGCATTGCCTGCTTTTACCCTAAGACAACAAGAATACCCGTTTTTCTTTTCTTTTTTTTTTTTTTGTTTTGTTTTTAAAGTGTGGCCTGAGCCTATCTACCTCAAATCCTTCCTGGTAGAGCACCATGTTTGTGCAATTTTGACATAACAACAACAACAAAAAACCCCAATAACAAAAACAACACCCAGACTCAAGCCCCCAAACCTCATACATACAAAACCACCTGTGCTTTGGGAACATTTTGCGGCGGTTTTAAACATGGCAATTTGTCTCATTCACATTTTCAGATAATACACTGGGATGCAAAGGTCACGTGACCACTCTGAATGGCCATGTGACTTTGGGGGTGAGGTGACCCTGCTTTTTGGAGAGGAAGAAAGGTTAGCAAAGCCTTCTTATCTCCTTTCTGGTAAATCTGTGGCTAGGGGGAAAAGAATCTGAACTATCTACACAAACATACAAGATTCCCTTTCTTGTTTCTTCTACTGAAGTTATTATTGGGTAATTCTGCACACATTCCCCCCAAAGTATACAATGCTGTTCAAGTGAGATCTTATGAGTTAACACATCAACTGTCTAACTTTGGCAAAACCAAACCTCATTTTCAAACCATTATTATAGAGGGAGGTCAACTGAAGTAATGTATTTGTTTACTAAATCGTAGGTACTTAGACAGATGTGCAGAAACTATCTACAAAGAATAGCCACAAGACAAAAATATAACATTTATAACTCAAATTACAAGGAATTTTTCCAGTCATTGTAAACTTTTTTAATTATTGCTTTTTGAATAATAAATTGTATAATAAATTATGAAGGATTATCATTGAAAAAATAATTATGGCTAGGCAATAGTCTTAGCAATGGGAAGGCTATGCAAACATATCCACACAAATATTCAAAATACACAGGTTCAAATATATAGATGGGGGTGTAAATAAGTATATATAATATGTATATATATATTGTCTTTGTCTCATTTATGCCCTGAGATTTCAGTAACTTTGGAGTTCCTTCTTTAATTCCAGACAGGTGAGGGGAAACCATCTGCCGTCAGGAGAGCTTCGCAGAACTGGAATTATGTACAAGCATTTGTTACAGGCACCCTGACTTGCCAAGTCATAAGTTAAGAAACAAAACAAAACACTTTTTGTTTTCTGAAAATCTTAAGGATCCATTGGTTCAACTGTTTCCTGTTTGACCTTTACAGGCCCCAGAGGTAGTGGGTTGCTGTGAGCCAACTTCATGAGGGATGGGTCTGATGACTCATAAAGGCTACACCCTGAGAGGAGTCCATTCCCCATGTTTCTTTGCAAAGACACTTTCAGGCCAGTTTCTTCTTTCTCTTTTCTGACCACAGCCAGAATTTCTTTCTCCACCACAGAGGTCACATCGATGTTGTCTTCCATGTCCTCGAGCCGGTCGGCGTTGTCGCTGATGTCAAACTTCTCGATTTCTTCGTTGATCCGGGTCAGATCCTCCAAAGGCATCCCCGTGGCTGGGGCCACAGGACAGTTCCCCTTCAGGTGGACCTTGAGGCTGCAGAGATGGATGTAGCTCTTGTGGCAATGGGCACACTTGTGGGGCCGCTCCCGGGTGTGTAGGCGCTTGTGGAGTTTCAGGTGCACAAACTGGGTGAACTTGGCAGGGCACACCTTGCACTGGTAAGGTTTCTCTCCAGAGTGGAGTCGCAGGTGGGTCTTGAGATTGCTGGTGCTGCTAAATCGCTTGTGGCAAACCTACAGTGTGGGGAAGAGGGCAGAGATGGGAGGCGGGAAGACCAGAAGATTAAGAGCTGCGGGTGGGAAGGGCCCGCTTACATACCAACGCCCAGCAACCTGTGAGTTGAGAAGCCTCCCCGTGGCACCTATGGCGTGGCATTAAGCAAACAGGGAGATGTGGGCACTGCACGCGAGGTGTTTACTTCCCCCTGCCATTTTCCACCCACTGGAAGCCGGCTGTGTCATCACCTCTGCTCCTCAGCAGATACAGGGTTATGAGACGTGGCCAGGCAGAATTCTTGTGCTGGTTTAAACTACGGGGCTATAGGACACAGGGAGACCGCTCCTGACACATTCTGTACAAAGGTGAAAATTTCTACCGGAAAACACTGCCCACCTGGCATTCATGTGGCTTCTCTCCCGTGTGTACCAGGTAGTGTTTCTGCAGGTGGGCAAGCTGCGTAAAGCCCTTGTTGCAAGTCTGGCATTTGAAAGGCCGTTCTCCGCTGTGCACTCTGAGGTGAACCTGGAAAGAAGCCACGTGCGTTAGCCCTGCTCTCAGTCAGTGGGAAGACCTCACATTTCTGCTCAAAGACTCAGGCATTTATGATGCAGACACTTTAGGAAAACCATCACGTGAGAGCTTAACCCGAACAGATAGAGCCCCCGCGTTTTCAGAACGCTTCATTTTGTTTGAGCCAAAGGAACAAAAGCCGCGGGCCAACAGGACTTTACACTGATCTTCTAGGCCAAACACCGCATTTTCGTTATTCAGAAGAAACGCAACAGAGAAGTAATTAGTCCGAAGTCACAGAGCCAGAAATAGCCAAAAGAACCCCGCCACCCCTAGTCCGCTATTCCCACCCGTCTCACATGTTGCAAAAGCGCCTCAGCACCTGCGCAGAGCGAGCCACACGCAGGCGAGCAGGCGCACAGGGCGGCCCCGGCGCGCAGGCGTAGTGAGACCCCGGGGCGCGCAGGCCGGCTGCTGCGCCCCCCGCCCTCGCTGCGTGGCCTACCTTCAGGTTTGAGAGTTGGCCAAAGGTCTTGGCGCAAACGTTGCACTCATACTTTATCTTGCCGTTCTGCTTCTTTAGGGGGTAGGGCAGGGTCTTGTAGCCTGTCATGTTTCTTTTGTTTTTAATGAGATTCATGGCTTCGTCACTGCCGGGGGCCGCCAGCGCCGCTGAGGTAGCTTTGGGCTGCACCACGTGCTCCGCCGAGGCGGCCGTGCCGGCTGTGGGTGACCCGCTGGTGGGGCTGCTCGCCCTGTCCTTCATGCTGGCGGCCGCCCCGGGGAGGGAGAAGGCACTGTGCGGCGCCGGGACGAGCACCTCGCGCGCGTGGTCGGGCTGCAGCGGCCTGCGGGCCCCGTCCGAGGGCAGCGAGCTGGGCAGGGAGGCCGGGCTGAGCAGGGGGTGCGGCAGGCCGCCACCGCCCAGGAGGCTGCCGTAGACGGGGTACAGCCTGGGGAAGAGGCTCAGGTTGCCCACGCCGCCCATGTTGCCCACGGTGCCCAGGCCGTTGCAATTCACGCCGTAGGGGGGCAGAAGGAACTTGGGGTAGTGGGCGTTGTAGGAGGGGATGAAGGCCGGGGGCAGGTGCGGGGCCGGTGCGTACCCCGGGTAGGAGCCCAAGCCTTCGGGGCCGTAAGGGGCGTTCAAGTAGGCGTACGAGTCTCGGTGGTCTGGAGGGCAGGGCGCCAGGGGCGACACCGTGTTCCCCGGGCTGCTGTGCGGGCTGCAGCTTTTGAGGCTTTGGTCGGGGCTGCTTCTCGCCGAGGGGCTCGGGGTCGCGGAGGACGGAATGGGAGAGTGAGTGATGTAGGTCGGCCTCTCCATCCCATAGGCTTTCAAAAAGTCCTCCGGCAGAGGGGCCCGGATGGGGTAGACAACCCGAGGGTAGAAGGGCATTTCGGGGCTCCCGTTTTTTCGGAAGTCGTCCGCCTCCTTTTCTGAAGCGAAGGGTGAAATGTTGGAACGGTAGCAGTCCTTTCCCTTGGAGGGGTTGGAGTCCAATTTCAGGATTTCTTTCACGCTGTACTCTCTCTTTGGAACGCTCTTGGGGCACAGTTCATTTTTCTCAGTGCTGGGCTGCTTTGGATGGCTCTGGGTTTGTGCTGAAATAAAGACAGGTCGGTTACTCAAAGGGTTATAGAGAACTGAAGTGAAAATGCCAAAGCTGCTCTCTCCTTGAGAAAACCTGAGCGCCAGCTGGCCACAAGCGAGACACACCTGGCTTCTCAACGCCCTCTCATTCTAGAGGGCTCGGGGGCCACTCGCTCACACCCACCGCTCCATTTCCTTCTGGGCAAAACGAGGACAGTGACAACATCTCGAAGGAAGGGCACTGTCTGGATTATTTTGTTTCTACTAGTAAAAACCGTATGATGGAAAAGTGCTGTTCAAGCTAGAACGGGAGAGCTTCCATTAAAATGGGGTGGAAAAATCCTGGTGTGGGGGTGTCAGAGGTTAATAAAAAAGTCATTCTGATGTTCACAGTGTACCGAAAGGAAATCAGCACACCCTGTGAACTAGATGTGAAAGATTAAGACTCATTTCAAGTAACAAGCAGTCATCAGTTTTCGCCTTGATTCTTGTTTAATACAAATTTGATAAAACCTTGTTCAAACTGCCTGTGCCAAATAGATTAGCAATGTGGATGCCACCCCTTCCCCTCAAGTTGCTGACAACACAAGAATGGCACCAAGGTTCTGTCTGGTCTAACCAGGCTCCCAGCAATGCTGTCCCCTGGAATCACAAGGCGTGACATACTCATCTCTGCCAAACCACAACAGGCACTTCCCGAGCCAGTTCAATTACTTAGAGCACCAAAGAAAACAGGCAGCTAAGATGAAAGCATTTATTCTGTATTATTACTCGATAAATACACTATTTAGGAACAGCAGCAATGAGGACAGTTCCAGACTCTGCAGGCCATCACCAGCCCTGCCCCTCCAAAACACACGAAACAAACGATGCCTTTGGGAAAACACCAGTCAGAGCAGGGAACACCAAAAACTCCCAGCTCAGCCTTCCCTGGAAATCAAAAGTAAAACAGATGCTGCTTCGCTGGCACTCTGGTTATCAGAGGGCCATCACTCCAACTGAACAGCTGCCCCACAACGAGGAGTAGGTTGAAGGCATGAACCAGCCATGTGTGTGGATGCCTTGGGAGGCAGGGGAGCTTTGGCCTTGGTATCAGAAGGGACACGTTGGGGACAGTGCTGAAACATCTGTAAAAGTATCATTTGCTGTCTCAAAAAAAAAAAAAAAATTTCCGTTTGATTTCACTCAGAAAGCACTCCAGGCTTGATATCTGATAGGTCTAGAAATGAAGTCTGTGGAACTCCAGATTCTGAACTCTTCAAATCCATTCTCTGGACTGTCAGGCTTGAGGGATTCGATTCCAGTTTGAGAGGCCCTCGAAGAATGTTATCTCCTGCTAGCTGTTATCAGTTACTCCCGGGTGAGCCAGCAGCCCCAGAATAAACACAGCCAAGACACTATCAGGGAAGATGCTGATGGGAGCAGTGATGGAAAGCTTGTTGAGGGAGAGGGATTTCTGAAGCTACTAAACCAAAATAAATAACCCCTTATCGGGCCAATATCAGTCTTTCAGTGAGGCCCAGCAGGCAGGAAGTTCAAATTGTCACTTTTGTTTTTTAAAGCTGAAATGGTAAAGGAAGAGAGACAGCTAAGTTGGGAAACTGATAGGCGAGGCATCTCCCAGTCACAGGAAGGAATTTTATGGAGGTGAAAAAGAACAATCTGGAGACACCCGTGTAGGCCCACATTAAAAAAAAGATGGCACCCTCATAAAACGTACAGAAACTTCACCATTTTCACGTGGCAAATTAAACCTCAGTCTCATAATTTTTCCAGTGGCTTCAATACTCTCTTGGTTCTAAAGTTCAACAGATTGAGACCATAAGCAAGAAACGAGTGTCCATCAGCAGCCCTGTCCCTCCTATTTAGTTAGGTGTTCTCACTAGGTACCTTAATAATTCAGTTATTAAAGTGAAAACAAAGCTAATGACTGGGCCAACAAACATGAAAAGTCAGAATCTGTAATTTTCCACGCAAAATTCTTAGCACAGGGCCCAGCACATAGTAAATTCACAATCCACGTTGGTCTCTTATGCCTCCATAGGAAAAAAAAATTCTATTTTCCTCCAAAACAATATCCAAAGGGAAATGTTAGCTCCCTAAGATGTTCTAAGGTGGAAGTCATGGAATCTATGTGAAGGTACATTTTAAAAAATCATCCTTCAGCAGCTGAGTAATCAGTAGAGCTGGTGTCATTTCTGACTCTCCCACTCAGCAGCAGCTTGAGTTAACATGAAGAAGAAAATCAAGATCTGTTTTTGTTCTTAAATCTTAAATGGCTGTAGGCGGACGGAGTCATTTCAAGAGTGAACTGCTTCTGAAGGCTCTGAATGGCTTAATTATGCCGACTCACATTTTCGATCTATAATAAGAACCCCCAAGACTACAAGAAAGAACCTAGAAGTTCTGCAGTAGGCAAAACAAAGTCTGTTTTCAACTGAAACTGAGAAAGCAGATTAACATTTAGAAGTCTATAATTTGGTCAACTGTTTTCTAGATGGGTTGGTTAGATACATAGGAAAAAATACCAAAAAACCTGGGAGGGGTAAGAGTTAAATTTAATAGTTTCTACTCCTTTTCTTTCTTTCTTTCTTTTTTTTTTTTTATTTTTAATGCCAATTTGTGATTGCTGGTTACTTACTATTTTTTTTCTTTTTTTTGGCCTCGGTTTGATTCGAATCTCTTCTCAAAATTCTACCAGTTGGACCATCATTGCCATTTAAAGTCCTCACCGAGACTCTGGCACAAACCTCTATTGTGCTGGGAGCACGGAAACCCAACACAACTCATTTGAAGACACAATCTACCTATTAGGCCTGATGAAAGAGTGGAAATTTTCCTGATCAGAGGTTCAATCAGCAGTTACCACACCTAAGACAACTGGTTTCACAATCAGCATGGGGAGTCTTGGCTTTTAATGTGACTGGTTATTTGTTCACTCTCCTTCTTTACTATGAATACTGGACAAGGAAATCGTCCCTGAAAATGTTAAGCCGCCATTTAGTAAAAAATTCTGCATAAATAAAAAGGGACTTTTGTGGGAACAAAAGTGTCATTTCCACAATATACATGGAAATTGCTCTGAACACAGAGAATAAGCACTTGAATCTTAAATGTTGTGCAAAGCCTTTCTTCGGGGAATAAAAATGCAGGGCCTTTGAAACCACATTCGGTGAAGGATGTAGGTGAAAAAGCTTCTTTGTGGTTGGTGCAAAGTCACTGGGGTGGGTCACTTCAAATAGAGTTACTATTTGAAAAAAAAAAAAAAAAAAACAAAAAAAAACAACCAAAGTCTTTCTCTGAATTCATGAATGATGAAGCTCAAGGAGTGTAAGGAGACCCTCAAGAAGAAGTGACTTGCCATGCTGAGAAAGTCAGGAGGAAGCAGCACATCTTCCTCTGAGAGGCTCTGCTAGACTATAAGCTGTCTTCTACCATGGGCCTGGCACAGTGGGTCTGGCATGTGCAAATGCCAAAACAACTGAATGGCTTCTGGGGTACTCAGCAATACCACAGACTCTTGGGAGCTCAGAAGAGATATGAGGGAAAAGAACTGACTCCTTTATCAAGACCTGACTCACCCCTCATGTTCATGTTAGTAGCCAGCTTGTTTCCAATGATTCCAAGACCTCTTCCTAAAGTTCAAGGGTACACTGAGTATGATGTGTGTATGTGTGTGAGAGGACCACGAATGCAAACTTGAAAGGTGATCCTGAGAGGGAGATTCATAAGCTTTCATAGTCCCAGCTTTTCAAAGAAAACTGCAAATACGGTATTGAGATGGTAGGGAGATCAAGTAAACTAGACAGTGTGGGATGAGCACCAACTAGCTATAGAGTTGCTTAGCCTGACCAGGACAGGTAATGGGTTTGTTAACTGGACCTAAAGTTGGAAGTCAAAATCCTAATCTATGTTAAAAGTAACATTCATTCCAAATGTTTCAAAGGTGGAAATGTGAACTAAAGCAATTGAGCCGTCAGATAAAACAATTAAGCCTGCATTATCAACAATTGGTGAATCTGGGTAAGAGGTACCTGGGAATTCTTTGTACTATTTTTGCAACTTTTCCTCAAGTTTGAAATCATATCAAAACAAAAAGTTACAAAAATTTCAAAATTTAGATGCCAAAACTTTTACATCAAAAGGACCTACTGTTAAAAACTTCCTTAAAATGTAGCAGTCTAACCGAGAACACAGAACCATAATTACAACAGACTGGAGTTTTATGGTCATTCTTAAATTGTTCCTAGAGATCACTTGAGAATGACTAAAATGAGGTAGCCTTTTGCAGAGGGGTTATGACAGTAACTTCAACCAAATAAAAAAGTAAAAGCTTATAAACCTAAGGAACTGAGAATTTTTTAAAACAAAGTGTTAGGTGGCTACTGTAAAAGTGATCCAGAGGTTAGATAATTAGGGTTTTGCCTTAAAGAAGGAGACTAACATACAAAATCTTTAGAGTTATCCACTTAGAATACTATTTTAAAAATTATAGCTGTGAGTTTTTCTAGAAAACAGTCTGCGGTGTTCTACATCAGACCATACATTGATAACCAAATGTGCATCTGTACAATATTCCAACACACACTGTAAGCACCAACAAATCACCACAAACAAGGGCTATACCTCGCATAATAGGCATGTCAGGACCAATCCCTTTTTATACTCCCACCTGCCCCCTTTTGGAAAGATTAGAATTAGACATCTATTTCTTCCTGTAACTTTCTGAATTAAATACTCAAAATAGCTCTTAATATTTTACACAATCAAATTTCCTAATGGGGGACAGGGACTACAAAAATTTTTTTCCCTTTTCCTCGTCCCTTGTTTAAAGCCACCTACTTGGCCCCACACATGGAGCCGTATAATTAAACAACATGTTATTAGCTCTAGGGGCAGAACTGACATTACTGGCATTTTAAATTTTTTTATTATTATTTTTTGTTCTATAATCCACTTACTGAGATTCATCATTGTTAGCTCTCCGGGATAAGGGTAGTGAAGCCTCTCTGCAAAGTCCCGACAATACCACACAAGAAGCTCCTGGTTGGCAGGGATGGGCTTAATGGTGTAGAAGTAGATGTTCATCCCGTTCTGACATGCAGCCAGGTTCTGCTCCCGGGCAGAGTGCGCTGGATTCACATAGCGCATCCAGTTGCTTTTTTCCTCATTAAAGCCATCGATGAAGTGGAGAAGCTCCCCTCTGGAGTAGATCTGTCCGGACAAAAAGACAGACGTGTGAAAGAAAGTCAGCCCCAAAGCAATGACAAGCTTCCCCGGCACCTCCAAGAAGAAACACAGCAAGGACCGTGTGTGATTTCTCATTCCCTGTTGCCCACATAGAAAAAGAATGCAATCGGTTTAGCCAGAGTCGTCTTGAATCAGCAGAAATCAGGACGGAAACAGGTAAGGCACACTTTGTCAGTTACCTTTTCCATTTCAGTTTTATCATCTTTTCGTGTTGGGGGAAAAATGACAGAAGAATGAAACACCACATTTCATTTAAGGAGCTGCCTCGGACGGATCAAACCACCAGAGAGTATTACTTTTGCTACAGCCGTGAACGGCAAATGGGCGAAGCTTCTAACTTTAGTTCCGATTATGCTGACTTTGAATGCTTTGAGTCACTGGGTAGAAGACCAAGCCAACCGAATACGTCAAACTGAGTCTCTCAACTTTTTCTATGGCCTCTGTACTTGCTGTTTCCTACACCCCCGCCCAAGGCTTAAACTATGCAAACATCCTCCACCCCCAAGCCTCCAAGTCCAGAAGTAACACTTGCTCATATGAATACTTGGAACCCTGCCTTTTTGTGGAAACACTGGGTGGGGCAAAGGTGAACTTCACCTGCCATAACAAAGTGAACACCGGGACAGAAGCCAGGATTTGACAGTCGACTGAGAAGTCACTTTTCCTCTTGATAAACATGTTCAGCCTTGCACTTCTCTTTCAAGCCGAAGGAGGGGAGAGGGAACCCTCTTATCTGTAAGGTGGTTGGCTAAAACACCAACTCACAGAGCCATAGGCATGTGTTTTTCGAAAAAAGAACAGGAAGAAACTATTGTCCTTTAAAGGCAACGCATAATGAAGAATTCTCCCTCCCTCCCAGTGATACCGACGCACTCAGGCTTGATTCGGTAAAAAGAAAGAATAGGAAAAATTAAAACATTCATTCTTGCTGAAACTACTTTATAAACCAACTCCTCACTCCTCCACAGAAAGTTTCTCTCTCTCCCTCTTTTTAAGGGACTTAAAAAGACTTAAGAAATTTCCTTATCCATCTTCAGACTTAAGAAACTTCCTTATCCATCTATAATCAGTACCTGGTTATCTGCAACTTGTAGTCTTCAAGTAGTAGGGCACTGTTCGTAGCAGAAATTTGGCTCTAACTGGACAGCAGGGTATGGCTTTGTTCCTAGTCACATACCGACTATGATAGTCTATAAATCGCGTCTGTAGTTCACTCACACGTTATCAGAAACAAAAAGGAACTCTGTCCCTTTAACACGGGCAGTAAACACCAGAATCACTTTCTTTTAAGAGTAACTTCCTGTAAATTGTGAAGGGGGAAATACATGTGGCTTCATCAAAGCAGCTTGTGAGAGCTTTTGCGGTGTGTTTTGTTAAGAGAAAATGGAACAAGCCTGGGTGAATTCTGCTATCAAGAGGGGTTTTCAAGTTTGTTTACTCTGATGTGCAAACTTCCAGGAACATGGGGTTCCATCGTTCTGCACTCTTTGCTGGGCGGAGACTGCTTTCTAAAGCTACGGGGCGTGGGATTCCAGTCAGCCTTCCATGGACTACAGTTTACTGTATCCTCATTTAAAAACAGAAACGACTGTGCCATGAAGTCATACGCGCACACACACGAAAATAAAATAATGCGTACATCAAATGAACACTGCTCCTTCTCACCTCACTACACTACCATATATTATCAGGAAGATTAAAAATGTGCTGACTCATAGTACAGTTACAAGAAATGTCACTGGTTTCTCAACTTGAACATCCCTACTCTTCTTTGACTGTGTAATTTGCATGAAACTTTTTCTTTCCTTACAACAGATGTTCATATTCCTGCCAGCAAAAATCAGGATGCTTTTGACAACATGTGGGGAGTTTTCTCCTACAATATCCTTTGTATGTGAAAGACTGATTCAAATAAATCCTCCCAAGGAAAGCATTTCAGTTACTTAGGATGAATCTTTAAGGAATCAGGGAATTGGAACAGAGATAGGAGGTTCTTAGGTATTTCTTGCCTTTACATTAAATAAGTCTTACGCCGGGTTGTGTTAATTCAGACTTTTGACTCCAAGACTTACACACTTCTGTGGCTCACTTCTGAGAAGACTTTATTGGCAATAAAGGCAAAAATGTAGTCACTGATATTTTGCCCATTTTAAGTCACAAAGTAAATATATTTTAAGCATGTGTAATTATTAAATAAAAACTGAGCACACAGTTCTTAGAGAACAGTTCTTCGTGCTCTTTCTTGTTTGGAAAAAATAGTAAAAAAAAAAAAAAGAAAGAAAGAAAGAAAAACATCTAAAAACACAAAACTTCCTGGATTTAAAAAAAATCCTGTTTCTATGGAACAGCTTCTGAATGATCCCCAAATAGAAGTCTTTTATAAAGATACTTCTCCCAAGATATAACCATGGTAGGTAAAAACTGGCCAAAATAAGTATAATCCAGTTTTTGTGGTTGTTTCTTGCAGCTGTTTTTTAAAAGAATTAAGATTCTTAAAAAATTCAAATAATGATTCCCTGGTAATCATGTACGTTTTATGCAAGTATGCATAAAAAAATTACTTTTAAATTTAGTAAGCATGTTCCGATTTTCTAATTGAGAAAAGTGAATATCCTAGAGAGATTTATGGGAAGAAGGAAAGCAGTCTAATTTTTGTCCCTGTTCCCTTCTAATTCTGGGTCTTTTACTCAAAAACTCCATCTAATTAGTTCATCTTTGAGGTCCTTTCTAATCCTGATATTCCAAAGGAGGTTGTATGGGCCAGACTTTAAAGCTCTCACATGATTGTAAGCACCTCCCTTACACGGGAGTAATGTACATACGGCCAACCCAACAGTTTTATGATGCAGACTCAAGACCAGTCCCAGTCATCTCCATTCCCCTGGTGGCATCTCCTACCCATCCTTCCTTAACGGCATTTATTTTCAAGCTAATTCATTTACGATTACTCTCCCATTCAATTAAAGTTAACTCAGCAAGAAATCAAGAAGGGGTGAAATCTAAGGCTTGGTGACTCATTACTACTTCCTTGCAGAGAAATGCAAATGAACTTACCCTTGAAGCAAGCAGCACACTGTTTCCTTTCATCACAAAGCTCTAATGAATTGCAAAAATTAAGATTCATATACAGTCCATATCTCCATCCTTAATCACCTAGGGGCTGCATTTCTAGAGCCCAACAATTAACCGGTTTCAATCACATTTGCTTACAACTCCCTGTGTCCAAAAGGGCCTGGAATAGTTGTGGTAAGCCCGAGTACAGGTTGAAAAAGGAAGTGACCTAGCACTTCTGGCTCCATTTTTTCCCCCCTTAATTCTTATGGAGTCTGAAAAAATTTTCCTTACTTACCCGCCAGAAATATTTCCTGTTGGCGTTCTTGGGAACAGTATCATTGGTGTAGATTTCACCTACTAGAGGTCCAAAACGTGTTCCCTTTGGTATGTATTCTTTACTCACCACTCCAATAACCTGAAGGGGATAAAATGCAAAATAATTACTTCAAACTGTAAAATATTAACCGATGTTTTTATTGAATTGAATTGGCAAGTGGTAGTACAACCAACAATGACAAAATGATGATACAGAGAACAAATATCAATGGTGCCCACATAATTTTAACAACAATGTTCATCTTAGGGGGAAACCAACTTTTACGCTCCCAGATCATAAGTAAATACCCAACGAAGCATTAAACTAGTCTAAAGGATTATTCTCAGGTGACTTTTTCATTTTTACTATTACTTTTCATACTAGAAGATCAGAGAGGGTAACCATTCTGTTTTATCTGATTTTAGAATCAGATACTACAGAATTAGATGGTCAAGATTAAATTATTTCAGCCTGCTCCTAGTTTCTTATTTCTCTTTCTCCATCAAACCATAAACACAGCATGCTTGAGGGGGAAAAAAAATAGTTTTAGCCTCAGAAACCAAAATAATGCTCTTGGGTTACTCCACAAAGACCTAAGGAACCAGAATAAAAACACATTATGTTCTTTTCATTCCAAATGAGGTGTTGTTTTGTTGGTTTTTTTTTTTTTTTCATAACTTACAAGTTCTCTTTAATAGAAGAACGATCTTTCAAGTGACTTTGTTCTTCCCTAGTATCTTCTACTCAACAGTGGTCAAGAGTCGTCCTTTGAAATGAAATTTATACTGAGGAGAGCTGTGGGTTCTGAGAGCTGGGGTTCTAAGATCTGAGGAAATGAGCCTTCTCAGACTGGATGTATCACACTAGGGCCCTGCTAAAGAAACAAGTTAACTATGCCAGTTCCTCCTTGATGGTAAATTTCTTTAAGGGAGTGAAAAAAATCACCAACCACGAATCAGGAAGCAATTCATCACTATTCAAAAGAACTCCTCTGTAAGGAGTCCTCTGTAACATTTCACAGTTACAGTTTTATATTGGTTTTTATTCAGTCACTTTCCCATTTTTATTTATTTACTTATTTACTTATTTTTGGTCTGAAATCACCTACAAATTACCTACTGAATACCTTACTGAAATGGACCAAGAGGGGAGGTAAAAGAATATTTACTTCCAGGTTTTACTAAGCCCAATGGCTCCTGTGTAATTGTGTACCTGCCATGGCAGGTCCAAATATATGTATCAATTAATGTGCACAGTGGAATCTCAGATTTTGGTTGTGACATACATTGATACATCAACACGTCTCATGAAGAACTTAAAACCTGTTGAAATGGATATGGAATAAGCACATCTCCATGGTTTTAACAGTCCAATCTTTCTCTTGTACATTTCTTATCAGCCAATGATTTTTTAAACAATTTAGTATTTAATATACAAGCCAATAGAGCATACCCAGACTGGAAAGACAGGGAAAAAAAAGAAAGAAAGAAAGAAAAAATTTCCTACACCTAACACAAGTTGAAACAATGTTGTGAGCTAAATAAAGTGTTATTTTTGGTACTTTATGAATTTCTGGCAGAGAGCTGAAAAAAGCAGATGTTCATCTCCTCCTCCTCTGCCTTCATTTACATCTATGTGCCCTTTCAATACAGTTCATCGTTACTGGTATTTGTTGGCAGTAAAACTACTGGGGACAGGAGTAGCTCAGAGCAGTCTTGAGATAAAAAGATGTACTAAAGCTTAAGCAGACTTACTTATGAGGATTTCATTATTTATGATACATTATTGAACCTAATTAATTTGAAAAATTCATGGAATTGACTTCTGTGACACGCAAATCATTTGGCATTCACATTCGAGTGATTATTCCATAATATTAAAATGACAAACAGGAAAAACAAATAATGTCATTTGTTGGTGAGCCAATAATTAGCAGTTGATATTTTCAACATATCCACTTTAAAGCAGTAATTTAAAGAAAGGTACTCAACTGGTTCATCAACTTTGTTTTAAATTACAGTCTCTTGCAGACAGTGTCTTGGGAGTCAGAGCTTGATTACCAACAAGTAGCATTACATTGAGGTCAGGTTTTTTTTTTTTTTTTTCCTTTTTTCCTTCCAAATTGCTCTTTTTTTAAAAACCCATGGGCCTCTTGGTTCTCATTTATCACTCTTATACTAAGAAAACACACAAAATTTTCTTATGGCCAAAAAGAAATCAACCTGAATTTTATTCTTACAAAAGAATTTGCAGAAGACATAACCACCCAGCACCTATTTGAGAACAACTATAAGCAAGTCACTGAGGAAGCTATAGTACAGTACTTGCCATCTATAACCCTGCCATCTATAACCTTACAAAGGCAACTAAGTAAGCAGACAGGATAACAATTAAGAAGAGGAGGGTCTTTGGTGGAAGAGAAGTCTATGAAAATACTCAAGCCGCAAACAAAAGAACCTACACATCGTGGTGAGCATTTCATAATTTTTTTTAAAAAGAGCCAAAGAGCCTCAATATTAGATTATCTTTATAAGTGGCACAGAACCCTATTATTTCAAGTTCCATTATACACATAAACTCACATAAAGTGGATACACAGAGACACAAAATAATAGAATTTCAAGGTTGAAAGGAATTGTATAGCTTAAATACCATCTCTTTCCACTCCCAGCCCAGCACTTTAGTATAGGATAAATAGCTTCATCTCAAATCCATGTCTGAGACATTAGTCAAAGAGGACATACAAGCTGCAATTCTAAGATTACAGCGCTCGGCAAGATTACAGCGCTTGGCTAGGTAACTGGAGGGGGAATAGGAACCAAGGTTGTTTTTAATGGGAAGTGGAAGACCAAGTCCTATTCTCACTTTTGCCCCGGAAAGATCCAGATGTGAATCTTAACCAACAATATTCTATCCCCAGAGCAAGCACACGAGACAGGAATCTGGTATGTGCCTTGGATTTCACAGTGCTAAAAAAACTAATTAAGAATGTGTTCACCTAAGCTTGAGAAGGAAACTTCACAGGAACTGACCAGGGTCCTAAAGAATTATTACTAGGGGCAGGCTGCTGTCTGTGTGCCTCCCATAATCTTATCTGGGAGAAGACCCTGCCTCCACACTTGCTTGCCTCCTCTCTTGCCGCCCCACGAGCCCTTCCACGTAGCGCCTTATGTTAGGAGGGAGCCCTTCCTTCACTTGGGCAGATCCGTCCCTATCAGTGGGCTCAGTTACAGCAGACACCCTGATGTCTGAGGCTTCCAGACAAAAAAAGAGGGCTTGTTTTTCATTGTACAAAACGAAGATTTCACAACTTAGGATGGGGCTTTCTGAATTTAAGTCTGATATGAAGGAGAAAATGAACTTGGTTTTTTTTTAAAAGCAATTCCTCCTTTAGGGAATCTACAAGCACATACACACAGAGGGCTTTAAGCAGAAACATTATTCAGGTTTAAATGTGGTTTGAGCATCCTCACCCCAAATTACATTAAGATGATTTTAATTACTAGCTATCTCTTCCCCTCCCCAAATCCACCACCCCATAGAAATGACATATTCGATTAAAATTTTATTTCGAACATAAGGATATTTG